AAGTGAACAAACACTGGATGCACATAGGTGTGTAAGAAAAGCGGGAGGTGATGCCTGGTGTGGAACTGGACTCCAGAGCAGAATGATTCCTACCTGAGACTGTGAGGCAATATGAGCCTGCCTGGTACAGTTTTGAGCATAAACTGTGTTCTTCTGCTTTTTCATTTCTCCACCTGACTACCTAGATTTCAACTAATTTAGATGCCTTAAAAAAAATATTTTTAAAAATGACATTCTAAGAGCCTAGAAAACACACCAGGGAGCTTTGTGCTCCACCTGATAGTAGCTCCTGCTGTTCGCACTTTTTGCACAACTAAGTGAGGGGAAGAAATGACAGGTCTGGGAGACTGAAGAGTCATTTCCCAGAAAGAGATCTTCTGGGAATGAGTGCAAGGATGTCCACAGTCCCATGAAACCCACAGCAGTTCCTGGTGCTTATTCTCCAGGACCCAGCTCGAAGCAGCAAAACACACTCAGAGCAAAGGGACATCACTGTCTACAGTAACAATTCTACACGAGAGGCTATTAAAAAAATAAAATCTTAAAAAAAACCAAAATCAAACTTCTCGTTTAACATTTTGTCTGAAAAGTAACTGAAGAAACTCAGTGGGAAAAGGAGTAATCATAGATATAAATGGCACTTCTTAACAGCTAAATAATATTTTCAAAGGCCAAGAAGTTCAAAACTCATGCTCCAGATGTACTGTAACACAGCACAACACTGACTTACAGTAATTCAAACTAGAAACTTTCAAGTGTGGCTGCTGAGGATTTTGTGTGGGGATATTATGCAAAATGCACACTTTTCACCCAGATGCATGTTTTCTAATGCATGGGCTATCACGTAACTGCTACAGACACCTATGCAGAAAAAGCAATCCAAAGCTCTTTAGAGAACTAGTGTTCTAAACCACTTGGATCCCCTAAAAAGTCATGACTACTTATAGACAAGACAGAGTTTCTGTGGGAAACACAGCTTTGCATTCCCTGACTTGCCCAAATGTAAAATGTATTAACTGAATTGTGCCAGTGAGCCACCCGATAACACAGGGAAGTCACTGTACAGAAAAACCAGTCAAAACAGACCAGAAATAAGAGTTCTGAAGAAGCACTGAAAACCTTACATGAAACTTTAACAAGACGCTTGCTTGAAAAACGTCATAATTACCGCTGAGTGTTTTCATTACTTCAATTTCCAAGATCATCTCTCAGAAATCAGTCAAATTCAGGGAGCAATGAAGGCTATGCAAACTATTTCCACCTCTCAGGTTGTGGTGGTACTCTCTCCAGTGTGAAAGAATAGCTCTGTTTTTCTTCACTAGCTGCTATTTTCAGGGTGGTATGGACAGTCTTCAGCAAAAGCCTTCTGTGAAATTCAGTCCAAAAAAAGGAACAGCAGGATATTAAGGAGAAAGTAAACTTTCAGTAGAATAGTTGTTAATAGTTTGACCAAAACAGGACCAGTTCCAAGAAAAAAAAAAGACCTTTAGTTTTATCCTAATCTTCTTCCTTCCTCAAAGCATCTGTTAGAGATTTGCCTCATGCCACAACAGTTTTAAGAAAAAATAACCCGAAACCTAACTCTGAGCAATTCTTGGCTGAAGAAGAGAGGCAAAGAAGTATTTAGTTATAACCATATTTTCAGTATTACAGGTTTCAATACAGCATAATATCAATGTTAGCACAGAAGTAGCCCATTTTCAATATTGAACAGGGATTCTGGAAGCTTTATTTTTTTATACAGATTGTTTTAAAGGCTTCTTGCCCTCATTAATTTATTGCAGAGATCATCTCCTCCCACAAGCAATTGTGCAATCTCTCTGTGGCAATAAAGCCAATTGCTTAGTGTCCCAGTATTACTTTCCCATGTACTTACGGCTGCCTGAATATAATTCACTAGCTGGAGATAAAAAGGAATTATTATCATGAAGCTGTACTCTCTAGGTCACGTTCTGAGAGTCTATGCTGTAGAAAAATAATTATGTGAAGATACATCTACTTCTTGGTTCTGAGCTGCTCATATTAAAGTTCAGAAGTGCTCTGCAGTCAAGCTTTGCCACCTGCTCTTTCGTTTTAATTTAAAAATTTTGAATCATGTTACTGTAGGTCTGAAAACGCTGGTATTCTGGAAATATGTGCATTTGCTGACCACAACAATTATTATCAGATTAAATTTATGAAGATATATGAAAGAACAGTACAAAGATTAAAGGGTATTATAAAGCCAAAACTATATGCATGTATATTATATACTACAAATAAATGTTTTCAAACCACTGTCTCCACTATGTCTAGGAGAAAGCACACATTTCAATTAATAATACATTCAGGCTTTATTTTCAGTTGTAACTTTCAGGAGACATTCCCCTTTCAGGCATGATATTGTAACAGTCCTACTGAACTTCAACTTTCATTAGAAGACATCAATCAACTTACTTTCAGTGAAAACACATGTTCACTGTAGACCGCAAAATTTTTTCAACAACAAAAGAAAGTTCTGTCATGTGTGTATATTTATGACGGTAGACATAAGATGAATCAAATCCTATCACGTGTTTATCAATTAAATAAAAAAAAGGGGGTTTCTACATTCAGCTCTAAGTCCAAATCAATTGCCCTTTTCTCCCAACACACTGAATTCACACTTCATTTCAGGGCTCTAGGTGTTCTAAGCTCCAATACCAATACAGCCACTTACCCTTTGAACTCTGAAAAAAACACCAGCAGGGCCCTGCTTCCAAAATGCTTCCCAGTTTTCAGGCAAGTACTCATTGCCCCTTGCTGTATCAGTAAAGGCAACTGTTGAATGAAGTTTTTATAAACAGGCTGCTTTGAACTTACAGGAACAGATGCGCTTAATTTTTAAGAATGCAGTATTTACTTAAACCCACATAGACTTACGATGCAGCTTTCCATTTTTCTTTCAAACGATTCTTATTAATTTTTACCCTCAACTTTTTGCCTGATTAAGTTCGCTGTGGTGAAGCTTATAGAGACAAGGCCTTCTGGTTAAAACTGACAGACAGCCGTTTCCATTCGCAAATCCTCTAGATTTTTATTGGCTCGTTAAATATGTATACTTTGAATGAGATTTAAATTATCCTGGTACATAAATCATCTTTTTCTTCTTGTTGTTCCTCTCCAAGAAAATTGACTACTGCCATCTCCTGGTCAAACATTTTCATCTGACACACAGACATAGTTGGACTGTGCCCAAGTACCTTGTATTAACAGCGTTAAGTAAGGTTTTTTTTAAAAGATTAATATTCCAGAAAAAAAATAGATATGATAAAAAATATTTTACTCCATTTCCATCCCTGAATAACAGCCCACTCAATGATACAGGCTGGAAGAGCTGTCTTGCCAACATTTTGAGACAAAGTTGAGGTGTAAAAGCATGAAGTACATAGCGTTACGAAGACTATTCCCCTCTTCCCAATGTTTAACAGCAAGTGTTGGCAAGAAGGGAAAAAAAAAAAGAAGATTCCTATAAATGCTGTTAAGGAAAACTGCTTTTAGAGCTGGGAAGAGGTTGATCCTGCAAGGCAGACCTGCCACATAATTTCCCTTTAGATGATTTAGAGGGCATACTTAGCTTACTGGAAATTGACTTTCCTTGGGGAATTTGGAGTTTCTGAACACCAGAGGAAAAATATAGTTCTTCCTCTTAGAAGTCACTGCTAATATTAAGAGTTAACTCCCATTTTTAAAATAAATTCAATCTGTATTTACCCACTTTCCTCTCCCCTGTCCATCTAAAAGGGGAGTGATAGAGCAGCTTTGGTGAGTGCCTGGCCTCTGGCCAGGGCCAAACCACCACAGTTGATAAACATTCCTACAACAAAACACACAACCACACACACACGACAGTGTGCCACTTCATTTCTGTATGCTTTTCCACCAATTGTCCAGAGAGGCTAAGTTTTACATATTTCATAACTTTCTTCATACGTGAATGCTGGTTTTGAAATTAGGTTCCAAGTCCCACAGCCAGTACCATTGGCCTAGGGCTTTTCTTACCACTCGCAAGTATTTGAAGCGAAATAATTCCATCAGAATTATAATTCAATTAGATGTTTTAAAAAAAATAAATGGAAGAAGTTCAAAGAACTACTTTAAAAAGCGCTTGAAGGAAGAATTTGTCTATACTAGGGTGGAGCAATTATAAATGCATATATTGTAGACATGAAAGTTTTTAGATTGCTGTTCGTAGCACAGAAAACTGCTACCTATCTCACTCTACCACTTCCATAAACTTATTATCTGCTAAAACAATTAAATATGGCAGTAATATACACAATTTATGTTATTCTAACACTGACTTGAACTACAATATACAAAATATTCTCTCCCTCTCTTGCAACATGCTTAATGCTTTTAACAAACACTGTTAAGCAATCTCCAAAAATAGTATGGCTACATACAGATATACACAGTGACTTCACAACAGAAAAATCACTGTTACACACTAGCTTGAAGCTCATCTCAAACCAGGCCATTTTAACACCGAAATTTTGTATTTTTTTTTTTACTCTTCATAGTTGCATAAGCTTTCTATTAGCTTTCATTTCTCTTTCAGGTCTTCTCTAGTACCCCTGCATTTTCTCATACATATGAACCACTGCCATCTATCAAAATATTATGAATATTTTGTTTGCTGAACAGCATTCTATAAAGCAATTAAGATTCAGTTGACTACATAATACGCACATTGTAATGCTCTTGGCAAATAAAAAATTAAATAAGTACTTAATTGCAAGTATTCAAGTGACTTACACACAGACACATCTCCAATTCTTTCAGTGCCCCCCCAACATTATTAGAATGACGTACAAGGATTTATACAAACTATGCAGAAATGTTGAGAAGTTTGGGGAATTTGGTAGTAATGAAAATCAAATAAAAAAATAAAAATCAGAGCTTTATTATACATCGGTACACAACACTTAAGTGACGTGCTTAGCTGAAAGAACTATGGTTGCTTATTGACACTTATTTACCTTCTTGTTGCATCTCTTCAGACTTCCTTCTCACATGAATAACACGGGGTCTCACAGTCTCAACTTGTGCAGCTCCTTGGCTTTCCTCCTATACATCAGACATTAAAACCATATTACAGATCTGACTTTTGATGTAAAAGCAGAGCAAAATTATGTGGAGCTTGAAGAAATATCCAAAGAGGTCTTTAAAGATTCATTAAAGGAGATGCACTCACTCCCCTTCCTTTTGACTTCAAAAGGATTCAGATCTGAATTAGCCTATTGCAATGCTATTTCCTCTAGATGATCGTCCTGGGAGCAGTAGATATGGCAAAGTGCCATTTAGACCTGAAGACACAGGAGACCCTCAATTTCCACTCAGAGCACGTGGCAGAAAGAACATTAAGACTCCTCTGGCTTTCTTCAACATTCAGGACATCTCCCTAGGTATTATCCTCCCGAGTGAAAAGAGAAAGTTTAAAGCGAAAAGAAAAATAAAAATTTCAGCACGCAGGTCAGAAAACCCTCACCAAATATAGAATCTATTTCCTTGACCCTGTAAAATCATCTTTCGTTCTTCCTGAAATGCTCTTTAGGATCGAGGTCTGCAACAACATCTATAAGAAAACAGTTTCTTGGAAGCAACAAATGCTCTGCATGTTAGAAAGGGAAACAACGTATTTGTCAAGTACACTTGTTATTATCTTATACATTAACTGGAACAGGAATTGTGGCCCAAGGACATCATACTACAGGTAGACAAGACACATGAGAAGTGCAAAATGAAATCATGGAGTCCTAGAAGATTTAAGCATTCTCTGAGACACACAAATTTGATTTCATCAGTTATTCTGCTGATTCCATAGGTGAATGTAATTTTTTTTCACGAAGTTTCTTAAAGAAGGAGGAACATGAGAAAGAACATAAATGTCTGCCTATCACAGCATTTGGAGTCTATGGATAGAACTGCTGCATGACATCTCTGGAAAGTTATATGCCATGAGAAGCAGTGGTACTGGTATTCTCTTGAAGACAAGGTACCAGCAGTATTTCGCTCCCCAAAAGCTATAAAGGAAGAAGGGAAAAGCATGTCCAGTGACAGGACAAGGGGAAATGGATTTAAACTGAAGGACAAAAGGCTTAGACTGGATCTTAGGAAGAAATTTTTCAGTACAAGGGTGGCAAGACTCTGACATAAATTGCCCAGAGAAGTTGTGGATATCCCCTCCCTGGAGATATTCAGGGCCAGGTGGGATGAGGCCTCGAGTAACCTGGTCTAGTGGAGAGGGGTCCCTGCCGGTGGCAGGGTGGTTGGATTAGATGATCTCTAAGGTCCTTTCCAACCTAAACCACTCTGTGATTCTATGTTTCAGTTCTGTAAGAGAAACCCTCCACTATTATGGAGGCCACAAGTGAAACCAACAGCCACAAAAATATGAAGAAAAAAAAAACAACAACCCTATATCTGGCAAACAATAAGCATGGTGCCAACTATGAAAGAGGGGCTTTCAATTCCTTTCGCCCATCTCTTACAATGACAGTATGATATTGCTTCTCATGTACTTAACAACCATTTAAGCCAGTGCTGCAAAAAATCAAGAGGAACAAAAAGATAACCTGTTCGGTCACTGTCTTTTCGTCAACGGCTGCACAGACTTGTTCACTGCCCAGAAAACCACGGGCAGAGATGGCTACACTAGTAGATCGTGTGGCACCTCTAACAAGCACCACTACAACCTCCCTCACCAGCACAGTGATGAGCGTAAGTGGAGAAAAGCAAATGTACACGCACCCGAGCTCAAGCTAGCATCTCCACAAGGCCCTCATAGGCACGGACACACACCAGATTGGCACCAAATTGGGCACCTCCACATGCCACAATGTTGGCCAAGTCCATTCATCACTTAAAGCTAACAAGATAAGAAAGAGTTGAGATGGTTTTCTGAAAGCAGGAAGGTCTCATGGAAATGTGATTGAATGGCACCAATGATGCAGAATATTAAATGTAAGCAGCATAAGAGGGTCCTTGGGAATTTGTTTGAAGTGGTTCTTTCGGTTTGGATTTTTAGTAAGACAAACCAAAAGCCAGTTTCACCTGAACTGAGGTGCAAACAGAAGCTGAGAGATAACACATAGATGCATAACCTACAATTCTGCATTCCTGAAGATTAAAAACCCATGTCTTTTGAAATACTAAAATGAAAGCTAACGAAAATGCCAAAGTGACAATCCTACTTAAAAAATGTTGATTGTATAAAAACATTCATATTTATAGAAGAACATTATGAAAATAATTTGCAACTAACCGATTTTTTAAGACTTTAACAATGCATTCGGGATTTCACATGATTAAATTTACCATCTTTGAAATGTTTAGCCATGCCAAGTATGACTTTCATGTCCCTTCCATGATCAAAATGATTTATCTAAAATAGGAGGAACTCATCTTCCTCCTAGTTGTTCTCTTGCTTCTGAGAACTAAGAGCACAGGGGCAAAGTGGCCACAAATAACAGTCAATTCCTGTACTGTTGCATGAGAATGGACAGAAGAGGTCAAACGGACGATGCTTTTAGTCTGGCATTCTAACAGTGACTAAAAGCATATATAAATCTCAAAATAATGCAACAATGCCACAAATAGAGAAGCAGCCAAGAAATTTGGGTAGATAAGAAAATTCTTGTATGACTTAAGCAATTTGTTTCAGAATGAGTGACCACACAAACTTCACTCTTCATGAATAAAAGGCATTTGCTCCTGCCCTGTGTGAGAAGACAATGCTCTTTCTCTTGGTCAAAATCTGATCTACACATCGGTGCCAGGGAGCAAACAACTGGTGCATATGCGGCAGCTCCGCATCACTGCCCACAACCTCCACGAAATGAGAATCCTGTTCAGCCAGGTGACAGAAACCACCCAAGCTTTGCTGTAACCAAACCCTAACGTGCAGGAGGATCATTCCGAGTTGAATCAGAACAAAGTTTTACAAAAGCCAAGGCTCAGCTGAAATACACTGTATTTTTCTCAAGTCCCTCCACAAACACCACAAAAAGCCTGGTTTTGCTCCTAAATAGATTTATCTTCTTGCTTTGTATATAGCTGATACAGTTTCATTTCAAAGGCAAACTGCACAGAGATGAAAAACAAGATGTGAAAACACCCGATGTGAAAGTCTGTGATTAACTTGGAAGAAAATCTTTTAAAATGTTTAAAGTGCTTATCGCCTTAAACGCTGCATAGAATGAATAATTCTGGAAGCTTCAGTATCTCTTGCTCTCCTGGCTGATATTACATTACCTGAAGATTTGATTTCTACACACAGGTGAAAAGCAGATCCAGCCGTAGATCTGAATACAGATGCCATCCCTAATTGAAACGAGCGGAAAGGTTCATCACGGTAGACAGACACTGTCAAAACAAGCCTTCAAATCATCTGGTACAGGGATTTTTACTTTTTTTTTTTTTTTCAGAGAAGGATGTACAGATCAAGTAGAGGATCTTAAGGAGCATGGCTTTTCTCCATCCAGGATAGATGTTTACTGTGGTTATCGCTTATAGGCATGGTCACACCACAGAAAACCTAGGAAGTTTGCCCAGGAGAAAGAATAGTTTAGAGTCTTCCATCAGGAACACCCATGTACAGGAAGAGATTAATTTGTTTGGGAGGAAAACAAAACAAAAACAAACAAAACCACACACGTAAAGTTTAGAGGTGGGTTTGTTTGATTTGGAGGGAGGGTGAGTTTTACATGCCAGCAGGCAAAAACACCCACACCAAGAGTTGAGATGCAAGAAGTTTTTAAATATAATATACAACTATCCATATATTAAAGATAGTATGTAAGTGTTTGTGTATTTCCTGTGAAAGACACTGTATCAGATTACCTTGCATTTCTTGCAAGGTTAATCCTACATGTGGTCCATTATCATTCACCTGTATTAAGGCAAACAAAAATCAATCCCAACCCCATCAATTAATACTCCAGAGCACAAGATGCAGGTATCGCTGTTCTTTATCGCAGCTTATGGTGCTAAAAGAAGGAAACAAGCTTTGCCCTCTCTGTCCCTTTTACTTTTGGCTGATGAAATGATAACAAGGACAGAACCTTTAGCCCAAAAGACATAGTAATGTAACAGAATCCAGTCGTGCCTGTGAGCAATCATTCCAAGAAACAGTATGTTCTGGTGATCTCAAAATGAAAGAGGTATAACATTTAAAATCCAATTTGAAGATGCAACACATCACTTCAGAGGACATATTTAAGAACTCTCAGATAGCAATGGCATGGTACACATCAAGGCTCAAACACATAAAACCAAAGACAAGGTAATATAAAGATATTTTAGGTTATTTTTAGTATAGAACATGAGGAAAGGACAGAATTCATCCATGAACACAGCAACCACAGTAATTGTATTACTTCCAAACATGCTGGGAAACTTAACATATGAAGGAGCATTCTGCCACCTCCTTTTTACCTTTTGCCACTCGCTATTTAAATTTATTTTTAGTTAGCAAGTAAACCATCACCTCTAGGTAACAGCACATATTAATAAAGTAGCAACAGATTATAGGTTTTAGGCAGAGATCAATAGGATCATCCTCTACTTTCAAGCATTCTGAGGTATCCCCTTTCCAACTCTGCCCTTGCAAATGAAATTCCTGAAATCCTGAATCAGTGGGTTACAATTTGTGAGGCCAAATCTCTTTCATTGCTCCTCTTTACCCACTTTATCCCTCCTGTATTTGAAGCACTGCGCCCCTGAAACGTTACACACAGGTACTTTTGACATCAGTTTCTTAGCTGAATGCGTCACTTTAAACGCACCAGTTCTGTGATGTCAGTCACCACAGTCCAAACAGGAAAATTTACTTTCCTAAATTTCACTCTGTACTTTCCAACTAGTCACACAAAAAAATCCTTGAAGTTCACCTGGGACAAATCCTCTGAGGGAGATGTTGCTCTGCAGCCTGGATGGGCTGCTTGCAGAACAGGATTTCTAAGTGGCTGCGAATCCAGTTCGGCCATAAGCATTAGACCACAATTCATATCTGCATCTTCAAGAATTTCTTCTGAGAAAGACAGACAGAAAAAAAAATTCTTTGATGAGCTGGAGCAACAATCTCCCGTTCAAGTCAAGTGGCAGGATGTGGAGCCTTTCAAGATTCAACAACAGGACATGCAACATTGAAAAGAATTATCTCCTCCTTACATGGCTCATTTTCTATCCCTTAAATTGTTCTTGTGGGGGAAAAAAGAAATAAGAACTGCATATCTGTGGAAATTGAAAAAATAAATCAGTTTTATCATCTGTAGATTTCTAACACGGCAAGCATTTATGATGGCTTCAAAGCTGTATAGTTCATCATGGCATTATATGCTTTATCACACATGTTGGGAAGAGATTGGAAAGGTTTCTTCATGAAAATGCTTCACTGTTGTGAGAATGAAAAGAAATCTGTACATAGTCTTTTTTTAAAGTGATAATTTGCCATACAATCCAGCATTTCTCAGGCTTTTGCAGCCTGCAAGTGTCAAAAGCATCTTTATGAAAAATGTACTGACAGCTCATGAACTAACTTTAGCCTTCTGCTATCATACAGAGCCAAAGAATGAATTTTAAGCCTAATTAACTATGATCATTGCTTAATTAAGTGTAATTATTGTTCACTTTAAGACTGCATGTGCCACATTACATTTGCATGTTGGTTTTTATGACTTTAAGCACTGAAAACAAGGACTTATAAATGAAACACTGATCTGCAAGATGCTGCTACCTACCTACACAACCAACACCTGCTCCATCCTGCAAACTGACATCCTGCTTCCACAATATGAATAAAAACTCATTATAACACTGAAGATACCCACAGACACACAATCCCCAGAATTCTGGCAGATAAATCTGTGAGTGACTCATTCTGACAGAAACTGAGTATCAACTGCAGGGTTACGGAGATATACACGCTGAAATATGTGAGCATTTACACCCTTTGGTGTAACAAGTTATTGAATTTTATCGCTAAAAATAATTATCAAATAAAACAATGGATCTGCATTGTAACTATCAGGAAATAACTCTTTGTCCTTGACTTGCACTAGACTGAAGGACATGCAATCTCACATGCCAGTGGACAGATTAAAAAAAAAAAAAATTTGGAAGAAAAGCAGAAACAATCACAGATCATTCCTTCTCTCTCGCCACTCCAAACCAAGAACAGATTGTTTCCTATTCAGCATTGACTTCACTCTCAAACGGACTTGGAAACAAGATTTTCTATTCCACTCTGATATGAAAATAGTCTTGTCTTGAAAGCAGATCCTAGTTTTTATACAGTGTTGTTTCCTTAGCAATGTCAATGAATACTCTGCTGTGTGTTTGGAGGTGGGGAGGGAGGGAAGGCGAATTAAAATTCATTAGAATGCAACAGAACTCAGTATGGGATTATTACAGATTATGTAAAAGCACAGGGAATTCCTCTATGGATAGATAGTCCACGACATTTGCCCCCTCTCAAAAAAAATACTACAACAGAAACAACACCACAAGATTTAGAGAGGCAAATATAGAAAAATTACTAGAGAAACACACTACTAGATTATGATCACATGCAGGAGCTGGTTTTGCAAAGTGTTAGACACATACAGGACAGGCAAAGGGCATCCTAAATTAAATAAAATTTAAATATAAGTATAGAGGAGATACAAATATGTTATAGAGCTATGGACAGTCTGGGTAAGAAGGAAATATCCCTAGTAGACAGAGTCTCCCATTAATACACATCATCTAAATCTCTATATGGTCCCGTTAGGGACTTACTGCAGATTCATCTAGATCACGAATTTATTCCTCCATCACAGCATTCTTAACGCTGACTCTTCTCTAACAGCACAGTGCTAAACAAGTCACTTGGAGAAATGGCTTATGCCAGGGAGCCTAACATAACCCATCTCCAAACAACATTCAACCAGCTACTTTCGAGTACAAGTTTGATAATATATAAAGTACCTGAACACTTTTTTCAAGACTGACAGTGGTGTAAGCTAGTCCAAAACATTGTGCTTTCTGCACAACCAGTTCAAATGCAAATCAATTCAAATCTAATGCAAATTTTTGTCACGTGTTGAACACATTCAATTTCAATCCACTTCCTACTGGTTGAGGGCTGATAATGCGAGACAGGCTTCTCTTGTCAAATTCATAAATGCAAAAATTTAAAGGACAGAAAACGAGCTGTTTGATCACTCTACACAACTTTTTGATGAAACAGTGCAAGCACATTTGTCTTGAAACAGCTTGATAATTATTTTTCAGTTTAATCATATTTAAATCCACAGCCAACAAAATGAAGAGTTTCTACATGCTTGCAGCAGTTTAGTTAAGCAGGTATAGAAGTACATTTTCAGATAATACAGAAACTGGATAAAATAGAGGAGAGGAAGGACAGGTCATTGGTTACAGCATTAGTTTCAACTGAAAAGAAATAAATTAATTTTTGTGCTTTACCACAGCAACTTAGCCCTGCACCACTTTGTACAAGTCATTGTATTATGTGTGTGCCTCAGCTACCCATCTGGGGAAAAAAAAAATTTTCCATATCATTATAGGAACACATAAAGATAAAATATATTACCTATCATGAAGCAGTGCAGTATCACCTTGAAGGAGTGATAAAAACAATGGGGAAGAGTGCTATGTAGAAGGACAGACAGAAGTAATTGTAACCATGAGTGTAGTACCTGTCTTATGGAAACCAACTTAAGAACACACAAACTCAAAGTGCTTTTGAGAACTGAATTTAACTTAAAAGAATAAAATACCTACTTTACAAGTCAACTTTCATATAGAGAGGTGGGTACCGGCCATGATTTTTGTTCAAATTTACAGATAAAGAAGAGTGAAGACAAGGCTTGAATTAAGTCCAGTTCTCAGAATAGGAATGTCAGTAATTCAATTGTAGCAAGTGCCTGCACATTTTTAAGTTTGGATTTTAAACATATTCTCTGAAATTATTTCAGATACTGTTACAGAAAATCCTCAAAATCCACATAAATATCACAGAGAAGAAATAAGCCTAATTGTACCTCCAGTTTGGGTGAGCTGCCCGTCTAGTCCGTTCTCCGAAGTCCGAGCAGTCAGGTGGGCCATAGAAATCGAAGGGCCCATCAGGATTCTCTCTGCTGCTCTGGTCAGTCTCGGTCTTTGACCTTCACTGAGCTCCCCAACACTATCGTCAGAATCCTACACAGAACAGCAACATCCAAACAGCAGGTATAAAACAACGAACCAACCAAAACCCAATGTCTTCATTCCTAAACCAGGCATTGGTATCTAATCACATTAACTCTTAAAACATATATAAAATTAAGTCTATACTATCAGCACTGAAACTGAGGAGGTACCACCTAACTATGTTTGAAAGTATCAGTACTGGACAGAGAAGAATCACAACCAAACAACATCACTAACTTTGTTAGTGGTATCCCAACATGATCAGAACCTAAGTTAGATTTTTAGCACAAGAATTCTTTAATATTACATATATGGCCATTGTTGACTGCCTGACCTTGTAATATTGGAAGCATCTAAAAGCTATTGACTCTCTGTTGTGCAGCGTGTCAGATAAAAAGTTCTTTTTCCAATAGGTTTGGATGGCCCTTGAAAAAGGGAAGGTTCTCTGGATTCTGACATTTAAAGCTGCAGAAAAAACACCCGCTTGCTTCTATGCAGGAGAACAGGTTACACACATGCACAGGATCATTCAGATGCAACACTAGGAGAATGTTCTTTCTCTCATGAGAAGGTATGATTGTGCACACCTTGTCAGAATCTGAGGGGGGAAGTTTATTAGTGTCTTGTACAGACAGACTGAATGGTCTGTGACTATGGGAAAGGGAAAAAACAAATTAGAGACGCATTTGTAATTGGCAGTGCTGATGAGAAAATGTCACTGCAATTACAGTCAGACTCGGAGCTGACACTAGAAAGCTTTTCACGAAGTCCATCCACCAGAGCTCATTAAGCAAAACGAAGACAGACAAAGGAACAGTTAAGGAGGTGAGTGAAGTTGGTGATTATTTAGACTAAACTGACCAAGACAGAAGGAAGAAACTGCATATGTATCAATAAAATCACAAAAAGCAAGATGTGTTGTAAATAAAGGTGTTCATGAACCATACTACAGTATTCAAAGCTCACTTCCTTTAAACATTCCTACAGCTAGAATGGATGCCCAGTCCAAACCAATAAAATACTTAGATGTGTGACAAAAAACCCCGACTCTTGTCCTTTGTGATGCAGAGAGCTACATTTTTCTGTTAGCTTGTTTTTCCTGTGAGCTGAATATGAATATTTTGAGGTTTTGTTCCAAGATCAGTATCAACAGCATGTGCAAAAGTGCATATAAGCATTTGCTGGGTTATTCTTCACACCCCATTAAAACACTCATAAGGCTGTTAGGCGTGGTAAACTTGCACTGTTAATCATACCACCTCTGTTGCTGAAGTGACAGAAAACTTTCTTGGTATTCAAAATGACAGGACAAATCTAGTACACTGGCACAGTCACACAGACACCTTGAAAATGAGGTACGTATGATACTATATAGAGTTAATTCTTTTATAAAAGCACTTAATCTTCAGCATTTTTAAAGAGTTTTACCCAAGAACACAGCCAACAGAAGTGGGATCACTTCCAGCCGGGAATGAAGTTTCTGAGTCTGTCCTGTCACCAACAGGAAAGATAAGCTTGAAATGTTTTACCTAACTTTTGAGGAAGAAAGCACTTAACTTAAGAAGCACTACTGTATTGGAAGGAAAAGGACAAAGTTACCCCCAAATGGTACATTCCTCCTTGTGCAGCAACAGGTGCTTGATTTAATTTGGCCAAAAGAGTCAAGACAGGATCCCTGTGATAGCCTTTATCCGGTCTTCTTACCACTTGCCCTTCACTGGGAGGATCATAATCCTAAAAGAAAGAAAGAATATCCACAAAATACATAATTGAAAACTGCTTTTTGTAGGAACATGAATCATTCTTAATTTAGATCACAATTAAGTTTTTATTCTTTTACAATAAGTTGTTCCAGTTTCCACACTTCAAACTTGTGTCATGAAAACCTAGGCATTTAAAAACAAGCAAATTGACAAGACAGTGATTTCTCCTTTTATGCATAAACATGCACAGTCTTTTTTTTGATACAACAAGACCGCAATACTTAAAGAAAAACAAGGCCTTTTAGGCTTCCAAAGTTCCCTGAGCTTTCTAACCTGATGAAAAGAACTTTAATTTAGGTTCACCTGATACACAGTTTTAAGGATCCGGTGAGGTGTCAACCCTCTGGTGCATGAAAGAGTTTTGTGTCATCTGCAAACTCGATGATGCAGTCTGTCCCATCATCTAAGTCACTACTGATCTGGGCATGTTTAGTTTGAGGAACAGGAGGCTGAGGGGAGACCTCATCACTCTCTACAACTACCTGATAGGACATTGTAGAGAGGCTGGTGCTGGTCTCTGCTCACAGGTAATTGGTAGTAGAACTAGAGGGAATGGCCACAAGCTGCAACAGGGTAGATTTAGGCTGGACATTAGGAAAAATTTTTCACAGAAGGAGTGGTCAGGCACTGGAATAGGCTGCCCAGGGAGGTGGTTGAGTCGCCATCCCTGGAGGTGTTTAAAGGTCGTTTGGATGTGGTGTTGGGGGAGACGGTCTAGGGGTGAGCTTTGTAGAGTAGGGTTAATGGTTGGACTCGATGATCCCAAGGGTCTTTTCCAACCTGAATAACTCTATGAAAAAAAGCACCGGCGCTAGTACTGACCCCTGGCATATGCCACTAGCAACTGGCCTCCAGCTGGACTTTGTGCCACAGACCACAACTCTTTCAGCCCAGTAGCTCATCCCAGCTCAAATCATTCCTTGAACTCACAGACCTCCACGTGCCTACTGATAGTTCAAATCAGCACCAGAGGGGAAAAGAAGTAGGGTGTTGTGGGCAGGGTTTGCTTCAGAGCACTTGACCAATAGAATCTGATGACTGCAGTTCCTCATCCTTGTGGCAGATTTCAACTATCTGGACATCTTCTAGAAGAGCCATAGATTGCTGTGGAGGCAGCTCAGGAAGTTGTTAGAAATTCCTCCAGAGTTCCCTTCCAACCAATATTGTTACACTTTCACTATCAATGTACTTTCATAAAGAAAACTGTTTGGTTTAAACATAGTACTCCTCTGATACCATCATTTATATGACAGCTATGTCCTACCACAAGGCATTACAAAGGCAGAGAGGAAAAGTCCAGGCATTTGAGGAGAAGAAAAGGTACTGAGAGAAAGGGCATGTGGAATACGTTGACTTTGGAGGTTGCCAGGACAATGGACTAAAGCAGACATCAGATAATAAACTATACTGAAGCTTTAAACAGCTTTAACTAACTCCAGCCTCAGCTAACCTACATTAATAATTTAAGCACATAAGCAATTAAAAGATAGCTCAAAGCTGAAAGAGTTTGCAGCACAATGTTTTGTTTAAGATATCTTAAAACCAAAACCAATAAAGACATTAAAACACCTGTTAACTATCTCTCACCTACAGAAGTAGGCAAATCATTCAAATTTAAGTATAAATTAATTTGTATAACCTGTTTCCTTCCTTTGGAGCTCTGAGATTCTAATATTTTTTGCAAGTGTACAGTTTAAAAGCATGAATTTTAAGTGAAAATACTTAAAGCACACCCGCTTTATCAGTCTGTTGCCTCGTGAAACATTTCCTTACCATTTCATTGGCATCTTGTAAAGTACTGGTTAAGCTCTCAGAGAGGTTTGGAAGAGATAGTCCTCCTCCTGCTAAGGCAGAAAAATATTTTAACTTACAAATACTAAACCTCATGCAAGTTACATGAAAGAAAGCCAAGACCACATTCTTTAATAATTGCAACACAGTCCTTTAGTAAAGTTGCAAACTCCTGCGGCCGGATGTATATTATAAAGACGTTCAGCTTCCAAGAAAAATGGCTCTTATACTTTGTTTTCAATAAAAAGTAGTACTTAATACCACACGGTACTTGTGCAAGACAGTCCCAATTATTTTCCAAGTTGATCCTGTGACAGAAGAGCAAATCCAATCTTTTTTCCTTAGTAAGCAGAACCATTTTGTTCACAAAGAAGAAAAAAGAGCAACGAGTACTCTTAAATCCAAAATAATGAACTGAAAGGTAAGGACCAAGATAACACCTGCAGTTTTATCAGAAAACGTATGAAGTGTAACTTTGGTAGACTGGAAGAGAAGCTTACATACTAAAAAAAAAATAATCCAAGTTCTAATTTCCACAAATTTCTCTAGTCACTTACCTCTTGCAGCCAGCATCTGTCCACAGCTGAAGAGTACCTCCCCCTCTGAGATGGGTCTGTCTGTAGTTTCTGTTTCTGTGAGGGTGAGGCTGCTTTCCTGTGTGGACGGCCCAGAACTAACTGTAGGGACAGGTGATGGGACCTGGGGATCGCAAGGAAGCGACTCCAAGTGCCTTTCTGATGGCTGCTGAGGTGGTAAAATCAAGGCCTCTGGTTCCTCATCATTAGCCACTGACATCTCACTGTAATGTAAGAATATGCATTATGAATATATCAAAATGCACTGAACAACACAGACTAAAGTCTTGAATCAATACTGAAAAGAAATTAATTTGCACATATTTTTTCAAATGAAAGAGCACAGCATTTTACAGAATAGGCTGAGAATCAACACAGTTATATAATATTACTACTGAATTTCTGGTTAGAACTAAAAATTACCAAGTGTGTTCCTCCTCAGGTAATAGACAAAATAAAATGCAAATGATACAATATTTCATCGTCTCTACATTTATTACTGGCTATTGTAAGAATAGGAGTTTACTAAGCACAGCATTTAACAGGATGATGAACAATAACTGATAAATCCTGAGAAATGTTCTGATTTCACATTTTTCTCCAAAACAGAAGCAAACTAAAAAAAAAAAAATCCTGGGTTATCTCAATATCTCCTGACATATATATTAAATATTTCTTTCTCCTGACATTTTGAGGTTATATGTAAAAGGAATACATGTTTGTTTATTTTAAGAAATGAGAAAACCATGCAGCCTGTCCAACTCACACAGCCCTGGGAGGGAATAGTTCTTCAGTTGAAGGACTGGGTTTCTCTTCTTCCAGAGGAAGTTCTGCATCATCCCAGGGGTCTGAAGGCTTTAGACTTCCCATTTTTGCAGCTTCGGAGACCCACTCTGGGGCAGAAGGGCTCGGTGTGATTGTCCTAGGTGGTGTATTGACTGGGGTAACCACAGGTGTGCCAACACGACTCATGGCAGCCACAGTCTCAACGCCTGCACATGTGACATCAAATTTCAGATCAGAAGGGAAAGCAGGACGTACATTTCAGACAGAGAGCTAGTCCGTTCTAACAAGCACTTGTAGTTTTTGTGATATCTGTTGATAGTTATGGACACAAGACTAGTCTCTTAAATACAGCGTTGGTATCTGAAGGAGCTAGAATAAAACCTCAGTCACTTACTTCCTCTAATAAGGTAGACTGCTCTGCATTTGAAAAACTAAGCTGTTTTACTTGGAGAGTGTAAAATCAGCTTAATTAACATCAGAAACACAGGAAGGAGTGAAAGACAGCTATTCCTCTGATGTGAAAAGGTGTGGAGGGGTTGGGAGGGGTGGAAATCACACAGACCATAGAAAAGTACATTAATTTTGAAAATGGAACTGCTACCAAATAAAAGGTGCTTGCTTTTTATATTATTAATTAGCCCACAGTTTTTGTACTACATGAGTTCCCACTTGAATTATAGCCTCAAGAATATTTATCCCGAGAGATAACGTGTCTTTGAAGAAGAAAATTAAAGGCACTAGATTAAAGCATATTTGCTACCTCTAAACTTCAATTATTATTTTCACTACCTGTTTCTTTAATTTTTTCATGTTTGCGAACATCCCCACTCATTTCTGTAAGAGATAGAGAAGAGTCTGGAGTTTTGACCGGAGGCAATTCTTTTGCTGAAGGTGGTGTTTGTGGTGGTGTGGCCTGGGGTGTTGGCAATGGAGTAGGCACAAGAGACTCCTGAGAGGAAAAAAAAGTCATAACCACAGTTATTATCTCAGTGCAAAACTCTTATCTTCCAACTATTCTCAGAAATAGTTGAGGAAGAGAGAGAAAGGCAGGTTATCACAGAACAGAAATGCTTGTTGCTTAGATACATGCCTCATGGTTCTGACTCCTTCATCTAAACGGATGCCTCTTAAACACTGACAGGTTTGGGACAGTGACCACCTCTCTAAAAAGTCTGTTCCTGTGTTTGACCACACTCTCAGTACAAAAATGCTTCCTAATGTCCAGTCTACATATGGATTATACAATTATAAGAATCGTAATAAAGCACTTGATACAATGTTAGGCATGAAAATATTTCATTACATGGATAAAATTGAGTCAGCATGATAATTTTATTCATTATTAAGACAATTAACTAAAGAGCAGATTACAAACAAAGCAACAGTCAAGACAGTAAAGCATCACAATAAGCACAAACATAGTTGTTATGTTTCTTAAAAAAAAGACAGCCATGGAGATAAAAGTGACAGCCATGGAGATAAAAATGACAAGCAAGTATGATGGTGGTTGTTTAGCCTGCTACGGAGCATGATGGATGACGGTTCTAGGTTTTTTCCAGATCTGTTCTCTGACATTTCATAAAAAAAACAAGATAATGGTGCTAATGGAAGGCTTCCAGGCTAGTTATTGAAGAATAAATCCTCAGACTGATGATTTTTATTAAAAACTTATGGCAAGAGGAACATGAGAACACATCTGGCAATTTGCACACAACTGTGTGACATCATGAACACCAAAGAACTCGATAACTGGGCAGCTGAAGTTCTAGATAAGAAACAGTAAGAAAGGAGAGAGCAGAAATGGAAAAAGGAGATTTAAAAAACCCACAACAAAAAATTTACAAATGTACAAGTAATCCGAAGGATAACTATTAGCCACAAATGTAGAAAGACTTATCACAATAAAGGCTGGAGAGTATCATTGCTATAGCACAAGGCTCTCAGAAAACCCCAGCCTGCATACTAGAGTCTTATTAAAAATGTCTGTTACCAGGTTAGTATTACTCACAGTCAAGACTGATCTAAACTGGAAAACACAGAAGTGCTGCCCGTCACCAAGAGCAGTGATGGTACCCATACGGACAATTGCTTTGTTTAGCCTCATCAAACAAAGGCCAGAAAGGACAAAACTAATCTCTTGAAGCGCACAAATAAGGAGAAAACAACTGCCTCAGCCTAAGGACATCCCAGTTGAAGCTCGTAACATGAAGGCTTAAGAGGGCCACTCGTAAATGCAGAGTGGTTATCAGAAGAGGCTTCTACGTATCAGAACAAGTTCCAAAGAACAGTCCTCCTTAACAGCGTACCCTCCTTAATCTGTCATGGGGTGGGGAAGAGCTCTTACATGCAGGATGGCTGTATTTAGGTCTACAGCAGCGAAATGGTTACATTTGACTATGGGATAATCTGTTGGTTCATCACCCACAGCAGGCACTACGTGGCATTTCAGTCTATAGGCACGGTAGAAGAGAATAGTTGACCTCGCTTTCAGCAAAGCTTTAAGTAGTTCAGCTTGCTAAGAGCCCCAATTTCCACATTCAGCCCAAAGACATTATACAACAGCAGATTCTAGCACAGCCATGCTGTTATCAAATTAAGAGCCAGTGGTCATCTGATTATCAGGGGAACAGAAAAAAATGATCCTTTATTACAGGAAGCTCTACTAATGATTTAAGCATTTACTGAAAATTACTGAACTCAGAACTTAAAAAGAATTAATATTCGTTTTCACGGATACTAAACAATGGCTGCAAGACCGCAGGACCAAAAATAATATCACCCTCAGCTTCTATTTCTTCTTATACGAAAAAATCACTTTTTTCATATTTAATTTCTTTTTCGGTTTCACAAGAAAGTAGCATAGCTATTTTTGTTGAAAATATCTTTTGACAACATGAAATTATCAAGTCTTTCCCTTAGAAATCAGTTCTGTACCCAGTCTTAAACTAAATATATATAGCATGTTGCATGCAATACAAAGGAGTTAATTTTTTCTTTGTTTTCTTTTTTTTTTTTTCCTCAAGTGAAATAGGTTTAATCATGTTGCTTGCTGGGGTATAATAAGGAATAATCCAAAAACGCAAATCATGCACATGCAGTTCATCAGTCTTTTTCCATTGTCTTTGTCTTGTACAGTTGAACCATCACAACACAGAGAAATTATCCTTTAGAACTTCAGTGGGAAAGCTTAAATAAAACAGACTCTTACCATCACAGCCATTGTTCTTGGAAGAACGTTTATATCAGGAACTGCTTTCTGAGCCTCCCTGTTACCCAGCATGGTCGCAACTGTTTCACTGAGAGCCTCATTTACAAAATGACTTATCATTTCTGAGTCCACAGGCACACCAGCATCGATAAAGAGTTGAAATCCTCCACCACCTACAACTTCAACTGAAAATGAAGAAGAATAAAGCACATATCCAGGTGTCACTTCTTAAAAATGCATTCACTGCACTCAATTTCCATGAACTTTTATACATTCATAAGTTGTATTTCTTTACATGTAATGAAACGACAGTAGAAAAGCAATTCAAGATCACAAAAGGCGGCAGCAGCAAAGGGCAGTGACATCACAGCAGAAATGCATTTATCTCCCATTTTCACGTATTTATGTAACAGAGGTAATTTTTGACATATCTATTAACAAAAGCAAGGCAAACAAACATTACAGGCTTAGCAAAATGCCAAATCTGGTTTAGATGGCGAGTGACAGAAGTTGATTTGCATAGTAGTACATTTTATATATTTTTGCTCTTTTTTAGATAATTTGCTTGAATGGCCTTGTGGCATTTGCTCTGTCTCAACATAAATTAAAGCACACACTTCTGCATTTTATAGTTTCACTGATTCAGCTCTTAGGCTCAGGCAACAACTATCCAGGCAGCTCACAGCTTGTTAAAATTAGCCCAAAATTGAGATAATCCATCAGCTGAGAACAATAACCCCTACTTACCAATGTCAGAGGTTACAGTCTCACTGTCTTCACTCTCTGAGGTGCTAACACTGGGCATTCTTTCTTTCTGAACTGGGTACAACCCACTGATAATTTTTGCCATTATTTCTTGTTCCACCCTAGCAGAATAAAACCCATTTAAGTATCAGCAAACACCAAGACACCTAAAAGTATCAAAAGAGCATTTTTGACATAAAATGTAAGGCAGCTCAAAGGAAAAAGGGTGGGTGGGAGGAACAAAGGGAAGGTATTTTTATGGAGTCATTCCTTCTTCCACATACATTCTCTCACTACTTTGCAACTCACCACGTTATCAACCTGTTTTCTATAGTTTCTCTCCTTTGAATCAGTTCATCCAAAACATCAGAACACTGCTGAGGAGCAGAAGCTAGTGGAGGAAACAAAGGTCCGTTGTATTTTGGAGAGGCAACTCTAAACTCTCCATTAAGCTCCAGAAGAGGCTCAAAGAATTCTGGAATTTCATCCCTCTCTTCTTCCTGATCCCAATAAATAAATAGTAAATTAAGTTACGGTGTGTTTCTGGAAGGCAACATTAAGGTAACCATCAAGACTGTTTTTTTCTTTAAGAAAACATTTTCATCACAGCACACAACCCACATTCTCCCTTCTCAGTATGTTGTAGTTAATTGATACAGTTCTAAACTTAGCAAATCATAAATCTGTAGAGGTATAAAGCTATAGGAACTGCTAAGTAAAACACGATTTGGCTCATATTTCCTGCCTGTCCTGCACAGGGCAGAAAGCCAATGGCAATGCTAATACTTGAGAAGTTGACTTGTGACATAAGTTAGGTTTCTTTAATACATACTCCAGAAATACCCCTCCTTAAAATAAAAAAAGTTTAAGAAACTTTCTGCTCTGCACACAACCCTTAAGTTTTCTAGTTTGGTTAAGTTTTCTAGTTTGGTTTTGGGGTGTTTTTTGGGGGTTTTTTTTTGGAAACCAAACTTCTACTTTAAAGTCTCCTGTCTGAAAGACACATTCCCAAAAGTTAAGGAGCAATGTAGTCAGTCAAAACTGTAAAGTTCCCAGCACCAAAGACTAGATATTAATAGTTAACATGTTACATGTATGTTCACACTTCACCTTCTGCTGCTGAAAGTTAAAAAGGTAATCAATTCACAGGATCCTCAAAGACCCTTTGAATTTAACTTCAATGCATTATTTCTAAAAAGTCATAAAGTTATTCGGTGTGTGCTGGAACGTTTGACAGCTGCCGCCCTCCTTGTCCCCCCGAGCACGTGAACAGCATTAAGTCCCCAAAAGCAGTCACCCACCCATCGTATCGTAACGTAACACTTCAGAAATGTCTCACGACGGATGAGAACCTGCATCCTTCACTCATAATACTAAAAACAAATGTCTCCAATAGTAACATGATTCTCTAAGAAGAAAATCTGGCATGCCAGAAAGAGATGAAGAGCTGAGTCCTAAATTACCAGGGAGAAGTATGTGGTGTTGCACAGAAGAGCTCACTGTAAATCTATACTTACTAAGATTAATCTCCAACACAGTAAAGGCAGAAAAAAAAAGTCTTTTCCCTTACATAAATTAAATTTACTTTTAGCCCATAAACCAAAAAGAAAACCACTACGTATGTTCTGTGAATAGAAGAACAAATCACTAAAACATGGAAAGAACAGAGAAGGGACACCAAAAAAATTAACATTTTCCTGTCTCCTTCCCCAGCCCAATATTAATACTCTCCTACTTAATCTCCTTAATATACTTTAAAACTGAAAACTTAAATAGGTCCATGATAAGTATTACAACAAATAGCTATTGGACAACAGGATCCTTCTAGATTTTTAAACAGTAATAATTCTTCAAAGAAAAGCTGTAACTTCCAAAGCAGGCAACAAGAGAGTACGTGTATTTGGTGACAAAGACTTCCACACCATTCTAGGCATAGAAATAAGACAGTAAAGTTAAACTCAGAATGGCGCTGGCTGCCTGGCGAGCTGATAAGCAGTTCATTCTGTTCGGATGCACGTATTCATAACCGTAATTCATCCTGACAGCAAATGTAAAGATGTCTTTGTCCAGTGTTTCATTGTGCATTTTCTTCTGACTGCATTACACCATAAATTTGCTTTGATGTTGCCTATTTAATATAATCTTCTCTGCAAGTATGCAAAACATAAACATCTGGATTAAATAAACCAAGTATATACAGTAAGTTGTACATGTATTTAGTAATTTCTGACCAACTTTTGTGGTTCTTCTGCACTACTAAACTAAGTGCAGAAATGTTTTCTATTCAATAATGCACAAATCCAAAAGAAAATTATATTCATATTAGGGTGATAGATTACCTCTGCTGAAATAAAAGTCCTATACAATAGTCAGTATTTAATGATACAGATTCAACTTGGACATATAACATCACCCTGTAGACCAATTTCGAATGCTCTGCACTCTATTCTGTATCTTACCTCCCCGGAGACTGGTAACAAATCTCTATCATGATTCCCAATCAAAATATGCCACAAATTAGAAAGTCTTTCAGATATTACTGCAATATTAATCATAGTGCTTTATTATAAAATATCAAGCCAAAATTCTATTTCCCAAATTATATTCAGATAATAAAAAAAAAAAAAGTTTGAAATTATTAGGTGGTATAGATCGATTTTCTTCCATCACCAAACATGTATATGTATAGCCTTTTACTAAAGCCATCCCGAAGTTAGTCATGGATTTTTTCTCGACATATTTCTAAAGCAATTTCCATAAGCAAGGTCAGGCTGCATCGCAGGTGTCACCTCTGATCTTTCATCTGAAGAGTTAAATGTGTTAAAAATTAAAATACAAAATAAAACACAAAATAGAATATAAATCACTGCCCCCAGTAGGTTGGGGGTTTTTTTTAGCAAAAAATTCTGAGCAATTTGGGCATGTTCAGAGAGAGTAAAAAATGTCTCTAATCTTAAATCTTAGTGAGGTTGCTAAAGATTCTGAAGGATACAGCTGGTGAGAGGAGTTGGAGAGCAAATTCAGTAAATCTGCAGGTCTGGTCTGGGCTCACGTTAACCAAGCAAATTTCTCACTCCGGAATAAGGCAGGGCCCATGCAAGGGCTGCCCTAATGAAACTTCTCCTGTCCAGAAAGCCTGAACCCACTTTGTTGTAGGTACAACCCTTGATCAAAAATAAAGTGTGTAAATCAGAGCTGTAACAGCTTTTTCTGCTTTGTTCCACACGTCCATTTTCTTACTGTGAAATAAGAGCACTTCACTGAACTATTTTGGAAGATGGAGCTCTGGGTCTTCAAACACCAGCCAGTAAGGTTGTGATGGGAGAAGAATCATAGAATGGTTAAGGCTGGAAGGGACCTTGAAGATCATCGCGTTCCAACCCCCCTGCTGTGGGCAGGGACACCTCTCTCCCACTAGACCAGATTGCTCCACCTGGCCATCCAACCTGACCTTGAACACCTCCAGGGATGGGGCATCCACAACCTCCTTGGGCAACCTGTGCCAGTGCTTCACTACCCTCATGGTGAAGAATTTCTTCCTAATATCCAACCCAAAACTATCCTCTTTCAGTTTCAGGCCGTGCCCCTTGCCCTTGCAAAAAGCCCTTCTCCAGCTTTCCTGTAGCCCCTTTCATGTATTGGAAGGCCACTATTAGGTCACCCCGGAGCCTTCTCTTCTCCAAGCTGAACAACCCCAGCTCCCTCAGTCTGTCCTCGTGGCAGAGGCTCTCCAGCCATCCTACCATCTTTGTTGCCTCCTCTGGACCATCTCCAGCAGATCCATGTCCTTTTTGTACTGAGAGCTCCAGAGCTGGCCACAGTACTGCAGGTGGGGCATCACCGGAGTAGAGCAGAGGGGGAGAACCACCTCGCTGGACCTGCTGGTCACACTGCCAATTCGGATGGAGCCCAGGACACGAGTCGCTTTTTGGGCTGCAAGTGCATGTTGAGCCTCTCGTCAACTAACACACCCAAGTCCTTCTCCTCAGGGCTCAATCTGCTCTCTGCCCGGCCTCGATCTGTGCTTGGGATTGCCTCGACCCGTGCTTGGGATTGCCTCGACCCAGGTGCAGGACCTTACACTCGCCCTTGTTAAAAGAAGGCACATCACCTCTTCCCGTGGCAGGGCCGTGCTCAGCACAGTCTGTCTCAACTCCTCACTAGGTGCCATTTCCAACTATTTTTCCTGAGCAAGAGGCTGTCTGGGGATTGCCCTGGACCTGGGAGAGGGCAGCTGCAGCAGCCTTGCCTTTGTTGGGCTACGAATGCTACCGACCAGCATTTAAACTCCAAAGTAACTCTTAAATAAGTATCTTCTAGTAGAAAAGGATATTTGGGGGGGGGAAGCAAAAATCAACAACCAAAATCTAGGAAAAGGAAATGCCTGGGACAGAGTCCTGAGGCCTTTTGGCAACATCCACCAAGGAAGGAAAAAAAGAAGAAAAAAAAAAAAGGTGGGGGGAAAGAAAATATCTTACTCAAATACCTACCCTCTTCAGTTCTAACAGCATTAAGTTCTCACAATAGAAGGGGGGTGGGGGGAAGACATCAATAAACTGTTTTCCTGTATAGCGTTTTATGCACATTTCTTCATGAGTCTGAAGCCTCTTTTATAACAATAACTTTGCTTTCTTTTGATGTCTTAAACACCCCTGCCACTCCAGAGGTTGATTTTATGCTTTCATATTGTGTTTGCCTTGCACATTTTTTAGAACATTGTCTGTGTGGTCATAGGCCAAACATATGTTTCACTTGGAACATTTTTTGGTATTGTGGTTAAAATACATCCCGCTGCCAAAAATAAAAGATAAAAGCAATCCAGGAGAAAAAATGAAAAAAGAAAAGATGAATAACTATTATTCACATATAAAAAATTTAACATTGCAGCATTTTCTTGTTGTTTCATAAAGTGATTTCTTAAATAGTTTTCCTATTTATTTTTATAACATAAAGCCTTTTTGCGCAAACAGAAGAAAGCTGTCCAAATAGATTTAAATTCTCTCCCCCAATAACATAAGGAAATTCTGAAACTAAAAGTGAATAAATAATTTCCCCACCTTCGGTAAGTAAAGCATCCCTTTAGAACTGTTTTAACTAACTGACAATGTTAAATAACTGATTAATTTTTAAAATAAATCTACCATACTGACCTGTAAGCTATACAGTTAATATTTGATGTACACTCTCATCCTGGGATCAAGACCACACAGGAGAGGTAAAAAGAATATATTTTTGGGTAGATTTAGGTATGCACACACGAAGTCCAGCTCACTGCAAAGAAGCTTGAGGAGAAAGCCCTTCAAGAGAAATACCAGCCAGTAACAGCAATTTCAAGCTCCTGGTATTTAGTGAGTCCCAAATGCAGCAGGAGGCAGGAGCTGCCCCATTCGATGGAGCAAAGACACTCCACAACGGCCGAGTGGCAGCCTCCTGCTTCTTTCAGGGGCAGCTTTCCCAGCTACCACTCAGTTCCCGCCTCTGCTCTGGATCTGGAGAAGTAAAACTCCTTCTGGTTCACCAACCCCGAACGTTTATCAGCCCCCACCTCTGGCTGACAAGAGATCAGCTAACAGAAAAGCGCACTTGCTACCTAAAAACATTAAACTGTGAAAGAACTTCAAATAAACCCATGTTATCAGAACCCAGAAACAACGTTTGTAAGCGTGCACAGACACACTGACATGGCATCCAACAAAACAGAAGTTTTTTAAAATCTCAATTATGTAAGCTCTTCATCTACGACCCTGAGCAGTACCTGTTGTGCACACACACTGCTTGTCTTTTTTAACTGAAGTGACGTGTTTAACTGAAATGAGATATTGTGTTAAAGCATTTTAGGGCCTCAAAAGCATGTGGCAATTGCTCTATACTAAAATTTTCTAAAAGGGAACCATCAAGGCATACTTCCATATTTTAAAAAATATAGATCACCATACTTAAAATCTGTAAGAGCATCTTATATATGCATTACATTTAGAGTCTGAAGTTTTGAAATCTAAGTGTTATAATCATTGCTGATTTTAGAGGTCCACTTTTATTTCTACTGAATTCTTACACATCCAAATAAAAGTGGATTTTAGATTTTTTTTATTATAGTTCTTCATATGTCTTTTACTTACTAAAGCACAATCATAGAATCCTAGAATGTCTTAGGTTGGTAGGGACTTTGGAGATCATCTAATCCAACCTCTCTGCCGTGGGCAGGGAGGCCACTCAAGTAGAACAATGATTTAGAATATTGTTTAGAGCACTGTAAACAACCCAGTACTGCTCACAAAGCTGCTAGTAAAGCAGCATTTGTGTTTTCAGTTACAACAGAACAATATAAAACAAAATTAAAAACATTTCAAAGGAAAAGAGCGCCTTCAAAATGTAATTACCTGCATGACATCAGTAACATCAATGAAATTAGTTCCCGGAAAGTTTGCATCTTCCTCCTCACTATGTAGATCTTCTGGAGTCTTACAAAGACAGATTGAAACCGTTAAGTATTTTATATTGGGGGGAAAAAGGCATTAGCAGAAAAAACTTTATTACAAGAACACAGTTAAATCACTATGCACTGTCAGTAGCCTGAATCCAGAAAAAAGGGCTTTACCCACCCTACAAGGGAGGAGGAACGTCTTTGCTTAACATCGCAAGAGATCATTAGAACCTTTTCTTGTACGCTGACAACTAAAACTTGCTGTTACCAAACCTAATAAATATCTCAACATCAAAAGTTCTAGGCAATACCTGTAAGTCTTACTTAAAGAAACAGCAAGACAAAATACTGTGAAACATAGCACACAAGAATCGAGAAGTGTCTTAAGCAATTTACTTACATGTGATTTCTAGTGTTATTTATTAATATAATTTTTAAGTCATAACCACTATTTTAGTCCACAGACTCTGTCTTAGTCAGTGAATACCCTGAGTATATGAGTTACATGGAATGAGACTAGAGTAGACCGGTCAACTCCACACACAAGGCTCCCAAGCTCTCCAGGCCACACAAAATGCCACTGACCACCCAGGACAGCCAAGGAACAGTCAAAGGAATGAAGAACGTTCTCATTCTTCAGGCCAGAACGCTGAAGCCAGTATAAATAAGACAAGCAGGGGCCAATTCGGGATTACAACTCATCACAGGACAGAGACACGCTGTTTTTCTTACAGTTTTGCTATGGTGATTATTTAATCCTGGAAGAACAGCTTCTTGCTGCAATTTTTCATTTTTTTTAAACAAATATCACATTTTTCAGAATAATTACTCTGTTTTTCCTGGAATTGTCTAATTTCTCTAACTGAAACAAGATAAAGAGATAACTTCATAGTAATTTAATACATTTTCTTTTTTAACAAATTCCAGTTCACAGACATTTAGATCAATCAATACCTGTATTACAGTATCAACAGGAGGAAGTGCAGGTTCAGAGCCTGGAAGAACGTGGTTTACGCTCACACTGTCACTCGAAATACTGTCAATATCTACATTTGGTAACACCTAGAACAGAAGAAAAGCATCACTCTGAAAACCTGCGTATTAGCTCAGCTACTATCGTTGAGCTTTTTAGATTCTTTCTTTCACTTGCTACCAAGTCACTGAAGTTCGGTGAGCTCCTTTTCTCATACCTTTATTTGACAGTATCTTGGGTCTGAAAACCAAAATACCGTAACATACAAGAACTAATCTCAGAAATATTCATGTAATTTCTTGCAATGTCTGATCTCTTCCATCCTCTAATTCCCTGATACTTTGTTCGGCATGTGACAGAAGGGAGCACGCCTGTAACTGTTTATACAGCAGATATGTGTTTGACTTGCAACTCATTTACACTATGTTGGCCTACAAGCCACTGTGTAGGCTGGTTACTGGCTTCACATTGTCATCTCTCTGATATAATAAAATAAAGCATAACTGTATTACAATATAGTTCGTAATAAAGGTGTGTCCATTAAAGCACCAAAATGTAGGGGGTTTTTTTGTTGTTTTCTAAGATCAAAGACTTAAATGCTTACTTAATTATTTTATGGGGGGAAAAAAAACAAACAAAAAACCCAATAAAACATTTAAAACAGTTAAGAACTGGGTGAAATAACAGCAAAGTGCATGTGGGTGGATATACAGTGAAACAGCAAGGGAACAAACCACATATAACTCTACCTGTATTTAACTTTGAGTTCCAGGTATCATTTGTATCTGAAAGGTGTGTGTAGGAGTGTGTATATTCGCAAGTTTTAATCCAAAATAACCAACATGTAAGAACCATTATCTTCCTTGACAACAGACTCACGTAAAAAAAAAATTAAAAACCAACCCAACCCACTAGGTAAGGACTGCAATGGGTGATTAATCAGGAGTGAAATCATTGGATTGACTAACATGTTTGGAACAGAAACCTTAAAGGCCAAAGCAGTCATCCAAGAAAGCTGACATTTATGTTAATAACTCTTTTATTCCAAGTTTGTTCTGGCTCAAAAATCTCATTTGGGGGGTGAGGGGAAGAAAACTTGACATAGAACTATTTTACAAACACCCTGCATAAGTGACTTATGGAAGAAATAGTTTTCTATTTTGGTCATATAAGAAAGATAACTCTTAAAAATATGAATATAAATAACATCATAGTCTTGGTGCCTCCATTCTATATGTTTCTAATGTTTACTGAAGCACTACTTAACGGTTTCCAAAGGTTACCAGCTACTGAAGGCAAAGTAAGTTACTGATGGATGAGACTGTCTATATTAAAATAAACAAAGAAATAGCCATCAATCTTGACACGTACCTGCACAGACAGTTGAGGTGGATCCTTTTTCTCTGATCTCATCTCTATTACAGCTATGTTTGGTTTTTTTATCTCAACCGGTGGTTTTGGTGGCACTTGAGGAAGAGAGGTTGTAATTGTAACAGGATGCGGTTTACCCATAACCACCCTAGCAGGCTGCGGGGAGACGTCACGAATTTGGGGTTGACCTAAGGACAGTTTAAAAATAATTAAAAATTTATCTAGAAATCTCTGAAGTCAGTAAATTAATAAAGTAATTAAAATTAAATTCTGGGTGTCCGTGTTTCACATGAGACAGACTGAGATCTCATGTGCAATTACAGACCAATTAAGAAGTCCCCTGTTAACACTCACTAAGGTACAGTGATTCACTAGGTAATTTTAAGGCTTTTCCAGCAGAAACTGTAAACTCACCATTGCCATTTTTAAAAATTATTGACTTTTCTTGACTACAGTGACACCTACTGCTGAAAACGATAACTACATTGTGTTTGCCGTTAAAAAAACCAAACCAAACAAACAAAAAAACCAACCCACAATAGAGTATGTTTGGTTGGAAGGGATGTTTAAAGGTCAATAACATCTCATGCTTCCCCCACCTCACAATTTCTCAATCATATTCAAAATACTGTTACACTTAGTACAGTACCCCACTAAATTTTGTTTCACATCCCCTTTATTTTCAATAATCACCTTTAAATGCCAACAGAATACTAACCCTTCCTGAAACAAGGCCTATATAAAGGTTTTACTGAAGGTCCAAAACCACAGAAGATACGACAACGAATTCAGGGTCTTTGGCACAATCCTACTAAAACCGTTGGGCTGAACTCATCATAAATATTGAATCCAAGGGCCACTGATTCAGTTCCTGCTTACACGGATGCCAAAATTAAAGCAGGAACCCTAGAAATGCAAAGTATCCAAGGGCCACTGATTCAGTTCCTGCTTACGTGGATACCAAAATTAAAGCAGGGACCTTAGAAATGCAAAGCGCACCAAAGAAGGTAAGCTAAGCAAATAATTGCTCTGTCTGTGTTGCCAGATATCCAGCATGAAGAATGAGAACCAGAACATTTAAACTGTTTCCCCACGTACATCTTCCCCAAGAACGGAAGCAGCAAATCTCACAGGCCACAGCAAATCACTGACTTAAGAAGATGCAAATTGTATTTCCATGAAGTTGCCGTAATTAACCTGCATAAATCCCTCTGCAGGTTATTTGCTCCTACCTAGTGGAATAGCCATAGGAATTAGGTGACCTTCAAGTGGACCACAGACAGGAGCAGGCACCTCTCGACTTAGACTGAAAAGATACCGATTGTCTGGGGCAAGTGCACTCAAGGGATGGTGTTTCCCAGGGCTAGTGACCACCTTCTGTGTGCGAGAACACGTCTGTGTTCTGGCCGATTTCACCTTTGTACCTGAAAAAAGAACAAACAAACTGTTGTCAACACATGTACAATCCTAGTAACATCATACACTCTAATTCAGTCCCTTCTACTGAAAGCTACGTATTTTTTTGCTGTGGGATGGAGGGGAAAAAGGGAGGGAGACAGGAAGGGCAGAATCTAAAAGTGCAGAGTTGGATGTTTCAATACTGACAGCAAGGAAGGAGTTAAAAAGCACCATTTTTGAGCATCTAAATGTGACAAATAAAGGCACAGAAATGTGAAAAGGACAGAAGGATTGCAATAGGTGGGAATGAAACGTGTGATTTAACAGTTAAGAAGAAACCTGTGGTTTAGGTTCAAAACAGAGCATTAGAAGAGCATGCAGGCTTGGCACAAAAAAACCCCAATAGGCAGGGCAGAGAATACAGCCCAACTTTCATCTGCTGTTCATCTGATTAACTGCCTCGATTTTATAAACACGCAGTTTGTCTCCAGCCACAAGATTGACAGGTACTCAAAGGAACAGGAATAATCTACAACTTCCTAGTTTAACAACTCAGTGCTACTGGGAAATCAAGCCATAACCCATGCCTATACATCTTGACTTGCACTGATTTTTTGGTGCAATTACAAAAATGTTAAGCAGCCATCCAGAAGTAATTTGAATGTAACAATGTCAAAGCATACAGCAGAGAATATTCATTGCAATGTTGCATTGCTCACTATATTCATTCAAGATCTTATTCTACCTATATTCTTTGAGAGCAATGGATACTATTAACTTAAATCTAAATGGATAAAAACTGCCTGAAATATCCCCAGAAAAGGAGGCAACAATTGTGAATCAAACAGAACTGCTTCTACTGTTTTGTAGGCACAAGGAAAATGAACCTAGAAAGAATCAACTCCATTAACTTCCCTGCAGTTGAAAAAAGTCATTTGACTCCTGTGCTGTTTTTAGTCATCACCCTTCTTGTATTAACAGCTACTTAACGCATGGCAACAAACACTTTTTAGCTCTGTTCCCATTTAATTTCCTAAATAATTGAAGAGCAAAAGCATTACAAAATCTAGGGATAATAAAGAATGATAATCTGACTTTTAACAAATGCAGACAAGCAAGTAAGGTGTTTCACTCAAGAAGTGGCATTTTTCTACACAGGAATGATGGGTTATAAGCCTACAAACAAGAGCAGCAAGTCGTAACTCTTAAGTGAGAGAATACAGATCAGAAAGAAGTGTTTCTGGAACAGGCTTTAAGCTCACGTCGGATAAGCAGTGCAATGAGAAATCACAATACAATGCTGTGGTCAGAGGGATAAACGAGATCCTCAGATGTCTCAACAGGGTGTCAGTGCAGGAGGAGACTTCCATATATGATAATAGTGCATCCAGTGCTAATTCTGTCTCTCTGTAACTATTAAAACAGATAGAAGATTAAAAGGTCTTTTTCATTTTTTAAGGAACATCACATGGAAACTGAAGTAGCTAGAAACTGAAGCCAAAAACTCACTAAATAAGCCACTAAATTTGAAGTGTCTCATCTCCTCCTGAAGCACAAGGTATTCTAACCATGAGAAGTAATTAAGGGCCAAATTTCTGATGTCTCTAAAATGATGACTGTGTGCTTTTCTCCAAAGCACAGGCTAGCCTGAAAAATTGTTCTTCAGTCAAAGACAAATTAT